AATGCTCAAGCCACTACACCTCACTTACCATTAAAAATGTTGCTTATGAACAATCATGGGATAACAGTTCTCACTTAAGGAAACAAAATCCCAAATCCACTGAAGTAAGATACCATTATTGGTGAGCCAAAATTGCACAAAATACATTATGCAAGTTTCAAAGCTCTACTGGCATCTTCATCAGGCAAAATATGTTTTTAAAAAATCATAATGGGGTATGTGTGTGATGGTCTTGGAGTCAGGTATACATTTTGTATCCAAATTGTATCTGCTATAGTTCAGTTGGTTTGGGGTGGATCTCAGTGCAGGCAGAGGCCACTCTCCTTGGTCATGTGGGGGCAGAGATTGTAAAATTTAAACTCCATTAGCAGCCGTAAAGCAACTCCTCTTGGGATTCAGGGTGTCTACCTTTTATGAAGCCCCTTCCCTAGTGTGACTTTTAACATCTTTTTCCAGATGAAGAAACCAGTGGAGATTTAAAAGCTTGCATAGTGTGTTTTGCACATTTTGGCTGGTCAAAAAAGGTATTTGTGTGTGTGTGCATTTGGTATTTTATTTTGCAGTATCCATAACATGACTACCCCTGAATAAGTTTCTCAGTTATGGAGAGGCCTGAAATCTTTCTTCTTTCTCTGTATTAAAACAGAGGTATTATAACTTAGGGAAAACCATCTCTGACATGAGCAGCATGGCATTTCATTTTATATGTGTATTTTTGCTGCACTGAAAGTTGCTTACATTAAATAGGAAAATGAAAATTATGGATTTGATAGCAGTACTACTCTGTTGCTTTTAAGACAAAATAATTTCAGTACAGGTCACAGAGTAATAATAGGGACAAAAGTTGGATTGAAGAGTATGATGACTTCATGAAAAATAAAATCTAAAAATTTCCATTGCTCTACTTTTTTTCTGAGCAATTAGATTTTTTCATGAAATCCCAAATGTCCACAGATATGTAACATAAAATCTTTTGAGACTACTTCTCTGTAACAGCCCCAAAAGCAAAAGTCTATCTTCTCTTATTTTCATATAAACATGTCATGGCTCTCCCATAGGCATTATATAGCCAAGAAATCTAAGAAAAAGAAAGAGGGTCATATAAATTGCTAAGACAGTGACGTATTGTAATTACTTACAGAAAACCTACTGTTTATATAAATCTGTGGTGAAATTATATGTGGAATATTGTGTACATTTCTGGTCCATAAAGATATTGTAGATATGGGAAAATGCAGATAAGAGAAAGCAATGTCATCAAGGACCTGGGACAACTCTCCTATGAGGAAAAGTTATATTGTTTGAAGAAAAGTGGCTAAAGAGAAGCCTTCTGTGGTAATACTAGAATTAGAATTAATTTAATGGCCCTAAATGGTGTAGGACTCAGGAGTGATAAAAAGAAGGTATTTCTTCTAGAACTGGAATTCATGTAATGAATTTAAATGATGGAATAATCAGGACAGATTAAAGGAAAGTACTTGTTTTTATAGCATGCTGTTGCATTCCCTTTCACAAAATAGAATAAAGAACACCAATGTTGATGACTTTAAAAGGAGATTAGGCAAATTCATGTCTGACAGTGGTCATTTATCATAAGGGTCTTTGCCTATGAATGTCAGTTGCTGGAGAGCAATAGTGCTGCTCTTGTGTCCTGCTTGTGGAGTTTTATGGTTGACCATTACAGGAAACAGAATCCTGGATGATATAGACCTTTGGTCTGTTCAGCATCACTTTCTTTTTGTTCTTGAACTCTTTCAAACCCCAGGGGAACAGTAAATAGAAGTTATAGAGGTGAAAGGCTCTTCCTTGCAAGTGGATCAATCCAATCACCTTATAAGCTATGAATCTTAATGCAATTTCCCTCTCCATGAAGAAAGAACAGAGCTTCTTAAAATATTAAGACACCAGTGGCAAAGCACATCTATACAACTTTTAGAATGAGGTGAGAGACTAGAGTTGGGATATTCCAGAGAGTACCTACTGAGCTGTAAGTTTGGGCTCAAAATCCTTTATTGTAAATGGTTGGATCCGAAGTACAATTTCCTTTCTTGGTCTAAGTATATATGGGTGCACCATTGTTAACAAAGGTGAAGTGCAAATATCTTCTTCAACTTTATTTAATTAATTGACTCTGTTCTTTTTTAATTCTTGATTTCATTCCCCTCTATTTCTCATGCTCTTTCTCCTCTCCACCTCCTCCAACCCCTGGTTCAATATTGGTATATCATCATTCATCATCATCATCCATCATCCTTCATCATCTCCTCCCCTCCTCCAAATATTTGGTGATTAGTAGTGGAAAGAAAGAAAGAAAGAAAGAAAGAAAGAAAGAAAGAAAGAAAGAAAGAAGGAAAATTGTGGTGCTAACTAAGCAGCAAACCCTTAAACACAGAGTATAAAAAATTTATTCTTTGCTTGGAAATGTGTCTTCTTGGACTCTGATTCCCAAGTATTAAAGACAAAGCATGAGAAAGTTTTAAAAACAGAGGCAGAAAAACTATGTTTCATAGGGAAATGATACTAGGAATTCACTAGCTTGAGTTCAAGAGAGTCTTTCTCTGCTTTCTTAAATGGGCTGAATTTAGCAACCACTGATTAAGATGCTACAAAAAGAAAGCAAAGCAAAGAATCCTGGATTATCATGTCATTGTCTATAATTATTCCACCCTTTTCTCCACATATAAAACTTGTGTCCATCTTATCTTAAAAACACTAAGCTCTAATGATATCGGATTCAGACCTAAAAATAACTGTTCTTCTGCATTAACAATCACTTTCTTTTTCGTGCTTTAACAAGTTCTTGTTAACATTATCATATGGTTTGCAAAATTCAATTTTGCAAACCATATGATAATGTTAACAAGAACTTGTTAAAGCACATTATATAGCACATATATAAAGTTATATATATAAATATAACAACACACTAAAACACACTGTATGTCATAATATAAGCAAGCTTACAACAGTATAAATGTATTAGTAAGGCTCATTCTCCAGAAGTCTATAATAGGACATAGTTGACCAATATAGCTGAATAACTCACTTTGTTCTTTAGGAACGAGGAAACCCACAATCCTCTATCCCTTTTTGCAGAGCCAGAAAATGAGTTATTGTTAATTAACTAGTTAGGCACAAATAAATTGCAACACAATTGTATTCCAACAAGGAATGACTAAATTCCTTTTCAATGTTGCTATAATTGTTTTAGTTACTTGTATGTAGGAGCTTGATAACTTTTATACTTAGGTGTTTTAGAGCAAACATAGAGGTTGCCCACAAAAAAAAAATCATGTAAAGCACTGATTTAATTACCTCTAAATAGTGAGAAGTATGCTTTTACTATTACAAAATTCTGCCTATAATTATAATGGTCAGTAAATACTATGTTGGAGGGCTGGTCTAGAAACTATAACCAATTCCTTTTTAAATATAGCTTTCCAAGCTCTGTTTTTCCCCTTCATAATCTCTTCCAATTCCTGGACAACAGCCACAATAACAAAAATTATGAAATGCTTCTCCAGTGGCGTTTTGTTCGAAAGGTAGCTGTGTAAATACAGCTGTGTTTTGGGAATCCTTACCACCTCTAAAGAACGGTTTTTCCTCATTGGCAACAGGGGATATTACATTTGTGCTGTGTAATTTTTTCCCCCCTGTGTGATTCCTCCATAATCTTTCAGAGGCTAAAGATGGAGGAGGTGGGGGAGATTTCTAGTGCCTTACATTCACTTCTCTTCCTACCCACTCTAATTGGTTCTTAGCTCTGGAGATTAAAAACAATGTTCTGTTCTATTCATTCCAGCTCAAATAAGAGATACACACATCCCTTGAGATCCAAGCCATGACTCATCAGTGACAGCAAGAGGCACATGCCTAATTAAGGCATACCAATCATTGTCTACAAGAGAGATAATTAGTCCACAAAGGGTCATGCAGAGAGTCCGGAACATTTTTGTTCTGAAACCAGCCAGTGCTGCTGTCATAAGGCCTTTGCAGACTGCCAGAAATAGTGCACATTAAATTGAGGCACTGCCCTGGCTCAGTGCTAGGGAATCATGGGAACTGTAGTTTGTTGTGGCACCAGAGCTCTCTGGCAGAGAAGGCTCAATGTCTCAGAAAAAAATGCAATTCCCATGACTCCCTAGCACTGAGCCAGGGCAGTGCCTCAATTTAATGTGCACTATTTCTGGCAGTCTGCAAAGGCCCATAGTTAACAAAGAATGGATCTCAACAAGGAGATATTACAGCTGCAATTTATACACACACACACACTGGTAGTTACAAAAACATTATGTTATATTTATGCTGGACAATTCAGGTATCAGAATCTCCCCTCCCCCCCCCCATAGAACCTTGTGCAGAGTCTCCATCACACTTATCCTTCATCTGCATACTACACAAGGTTTTATGTTGTTAGACTTTTAAAAAGAGCTCTCTGCTGTTAAGTCACTCTTGTTCCCATCCTACAGGTGGGCCCAAAAGAAAATGATACTCGAGGCTACATTGTGAAGTCATGACTAATATAGCCACTAATATAGCCAGATTCTTCTGCCAACCTAGCAGTTTGAAAGCATGCAAATGCAAGTAGATAAATAGGTACCACTTTGGTGGGAAGGTAAACAGTGTTCTGTGCAGTCATGCTGGGCACAGGATCACAGAGTGGTCTCTGACAACGCTGGCTCTTCGGCTTAGTAACGGAGATGAGCACTGCCTCCTACGGTTGGACATAACTTGACAACCTTGTCAACAGGGAATAACTTTACCTTTACCTTTACAGCCAGGCTAAGAATGAGCACAACCAGCTATTACGAAAAATATCACACTACATTTATTATAGTACTATTATTCCACTTTTTACTGCTATGGATGCCTCCTATTTAATCCTGGGATCTGCAGTTTAGGGAAGGTCATGTAGAATTATTAGCCAGAGAGCTACAACCCCCAGAATGCCACAGGAGGAAGCCATAGCAGTAGAAGTGGACTAACAGCACTATAAGAGAGCCAGTGTGGCATAAGGGTTTGAGTGTCAGACTGTGACTCTAGTGACCAGGGTTCTATTCCCAGCTCAGCCATGAAACCCTCTGGGGAACGTTGGGTAATTAACATGCTCTTGGCCTCAGGGGAAGGGAATGGAAAATCTCCTCTGACAAATCTTGCAAAGAAAACTCTGTGATAGGGTCATCACAAACCGAAAATGACTTGAAGGCACATAGCACTAGTGCTATAACAGTGCATACTAGAGATGGGAAGGCTTGGGGAAAAACATACAATTTCCCCGGTTTTTTCCCGTTACGCCTTTTTTGTTTTTTTCCAAAAAAATGGAAAAATTGAAAAAAAGGAAGCAAAGTGACTATGGAATGTTTTATTTTAGCATGATGAATAAAATCTTTAAGACAAGGTGTCATATTTTCTCCAAATCATTTCTAAACACTACGTACAGTATCAGATTATTCAAATTTCTGTGCACCGAATGAGGACAAGCAAGTCCTAGGTTACAAACTGCTCCAACGCAAGAGCATGATCCATTTCTTCCTTTAGGGGGCACTGAAAGAATTGGCCTATGTTTCAAAACACAATAAATCAAGACATAAACTAACATGTGAAAAAGTAGAGAAGTTTCTTTTAATCCGGGTACACCTTCAGTTTTTAGAAGTCCATGATAACTGTGATGAGGACAAACATAACAAATCAGAAGCAAACAATGAAACTAATACTGATAACCAGGATCACATCCACACTGCAGAAATCTTTAATACCTCATGTTTAAAAGTGCCTTGGGTACCTAAAAGCAATGCTTCAGGTCTAATCTGCATGACAGAAATAATGTAGTTTGACACAACTTTTAACTGCCATGGCTCAGTGCTATGGAATGCTGGGATTTGTAGTTTATGAAACATTTAGCTTTCTATGTCAGAGAGTTCTGGTGCCACAACAAGCTACTATTCCCAGGATTTCCTAGCATTGAACCATGACAGTTAAAGTGGTGTCAAGCTGGAATATTTCTGCAATGTGGATGTAGCCCAGAGCTCAGAAAATGAATCTGATTAATTTTCATGCCTATTAATTGAATTTTAGTCCCTCCTCACTCCCCCCCCCCCCATTCTTTTTAAGGGAATGGGTGCTCTATGTCTATTTGATACTGTGGAGATGAAATGTAAATAATTATTTTTGTGACTAATATTGATGATTTCCATTGTGTGTGGGTGGGTAGGTTTTTTTGCCTGCTCCTCATAAACTAGCAAAACCAAAAGTCAGTAGATTATTATTCCATTTGTTACAAATATTTTTTTTTTAAAAAAGTAAATTCTGTTTGTAATAATTGTTTGGATACACTCTATTTTAATATACCAATTGTAGTAATGTTATGCCAAATCAAATTGCACATAGTAATATTTTATGTTCCTAAAGTAACAGAGTGATTTTCAATCTGCAAAAAGTGCTAATGTTGCATTTTTTCCAATTTTCCCAAAAATTTCCATTTTTTTCTGGGGGGGGGAATGGGGAAAAAAAGGGGTTTTCCCATGGCTTCAAAATTTCTGGAAACTTTACATCTCTAGTGCAGACAGCAAAAGCAGGGCACATATATTGCAAAGCCCATCATCTCCCCCAAATAATAGCAACCATAGTGCCTGTGGCCAAACCAACCTTTCATTCTTACTGAACTGTGTTCCAACCTGGAACCCACTTACTTTGTCACAAGACACACAACTGAAAAGCAAGCTCAAAACTGGCACCAATCTGCTTCACCAGTCCTAGGCACCATTTCTTGGCCATGCCAGATGATAACAAATTAAATCCAGAAACTCTATGTGAGTAGATATGCATAAAATGAAAAGAATAATGCAGTTCAGTTGTTTTAGTATAAAACCATCTGTATACTGAATCACACTGTATATTAAGCCAGAAATGTCTTAAATGCCAGACAGCAAGAAAATGAGAAGCTTGATCATTCTTCTGCATGCCAGTCATAGCTGGCAGGTAGTGGTAACATAGAGATTTTTTGCTCAAGGCACATTATCTTTTAACAAGAAATCTTCCCATGTACGTTAAGATGCCTATGTTCTGCCTGTATATAAACTTATACTCTTACTAAGCATTAGGACATGTGTATAAAATGTATTTCTCATTAAAAAATGAAGCACTCTCTTTATCAATATTTTATTCTGATATTTGGACCTTTGAAAAGGAATGAAATTAACACTCTCTCTTTCTCTTTTTGTGTAATTAAATGCAAAATATTCATTTATCCACACCGTTGCTTCATCCTAAACAGAGAAATCTTGTCAAAATATCATGCTTAAGTGCACTGTGTGTTTCTACATTTGTGGTTAAAAATCAATCTCAAAAGTGTAAGAGGGGAATATATATATATATATATATATATATATATATATATATATATATAAGAACTGGTGGGATAATTCATCAGCTTGCCTTTAATACTTTGAAGTGTCACAGAAATATAATGTATGGTACTAATAAGAAAAATGGGTAAAGCCAAATCCAGTGGATTTATGTCTACATATATGTAAAGCAACTTCATTTATATACCGCTTCATATCATGCTATGAAGTGTCTAAGCGGTTTACAACTGTGAGCTGATTGCCCCCCAACAGCTGGGTATTCATTTTAGCAACCTCGGAAGGATGCAGGCCTGAGTCAAGCCTGAGCCCTGGCTAGTATTGAACTCGCAACCTTGTGGTTTATGACTGAGTGACTGCAGTACAGGAATTAACCACTGCGCCATCAGTGCAGTGTAGCTGTAAGAGTATATGTAAGAGTACATGTACAAAAAGTGACAAGAGCTAATGCAACAATCTGCTACATAATACAGTGGTACCTCTACTTACGAAATTAATCCGTTCCACATCCCATT